ATCATATTGGTTATGGTCATGGAAATTGGAAATGTTGGTGGACAGAAAATCGAATAATTATTGTCAGTAGTGTAGTTGGAGGTGCATTGGTACTTCTTACAATATTTTGTATAGGTTTCGGTTTATATAAATATGTTCAATCAAATAACCAAGTAATAAAGTAAGTATTATTTCGTTTTGTTTCGTTCAAATCCTAATTGAAATGTTTTTTCATTTTAAATTCGAAAGAAAAATCAAAAGAATTCGATTCAAAAATATAAAAGAAATAGGTAGTCCAACAGATTTTAGACATCATTTTCATGCTGGTTTGGATAAACCACCGAAAGCAGAGTTGAGTATGTTATATTTTCCGGGCCTCGCATATCTTGATTTTTCTAAAAAATAATAATTTTTCAAAATAAATATTTTTTGATGATTTATTTTTGGATAATTAATTTTAAATAACAAAGTATAGGAATGCAATTTGATAATAACAATTCTGTTAATTAAATTACAAATCAAATAAATTTTCTATCATCATTCACAAGAATAATTATTGTATTTTATTATAAATTCAATAGGAGAGAAATATTTCTAAATGATTTAGTTTTCAATTTTTCTTATTTGGAAAAAAATGTTTAAACTACAATTCTTGATGATGATGATGAATATTGTAGTAATGATCGATGGCAGTCGTTCATATTTCGCAGTACGTGGTGATAATCAAAGCAAATGGTTCGATATACGATATCCATATAAAGCCATTTATGGTTTACCAAATTCATTAAAATGTCCTCATTCAATCTATAAACGATTTGATGAATGTGAAAAAACATCACATAAAGATTGGGATATTACTATTGATGAATATGTAAGTTGTCCAAACAAATATATAATGGATGATTTGATAATTTATTTAACCCATTCTTGTCATCAGTTTTATGAAACAAAAAAATTTTGTTGTTTCATTTGGGATGCAATGAATTGTGAAATTGATGTTGCAAAACAATGCAATCATGATTATTCCATAGAACTTGAATTGAATACAAAACAAACATATCAAACAATTTGTAATCATATTGGTTATGGTCATGGAAGTTGGAAATGTTGGTGGACAGAAAATCGAATAATCACTGTCAGTAGTGTAGTTGGAGCTGCATTGGCAATTCTTGCGATATTTTGTATAGGTTTCGGTTTATATAAATATAATAAATCAAGAAACCAAGTAATGAACGAGTAAGTATTATTTAGTTTTGTTTCGTTCAAATCTAAATTGAAATGTTTTTACATTTTAAATTCGAAAGAAAAATCAAAAGAATTCCATTTAAAACTATAAAAGAAATTGGTAGTCCAACAGATTTTAAACATCATCCAATTGTTGGTATGGATGAAGCACCGAAAGCAGAGATGAATGTTTCATCGATGAATGATTTAATGATGGATGGACAATCGAATACACAATCGGCTGAATGGTTAAATATAAAACAACAAATAACACATGTTCCTAATGAAATTCATTCATCATCATCATCAGCATCGTCAACAAAACCAATTTCAACATCAACCCAACAGCCAACGACAATCGAACCATCAACCCAACAATCAATGAAAGGATTAACAGAACCATTATCAAGAACATCATCTCAAAGATCAAAATATAGTGATTGGACATTATCAACAGGATCGATAACATCTGCATCTGATTCTGGAACCAAAAATAAACCATCAGCATTTTTATATCGTTCAAAAAAAACTCCGAAATCTGATTTAACATCAAATGAAATTAGTGAATTATGGAGACAAAATTATGGTACGGCTGGTGGTGGTGGTTTTGATAGTGATAATACTGGTGGTGTCAATCAAACAAATGATAAATGGCTACAGAGTTATAATGATAGTAGCAGTAGTCATAAGAAAGAAATTGATTTATGGATTAGAAATTATGGAAGTACTGGTGGTACTGATAGTGAATTTGATAGGAGTAGTGGTGGTAGTAATATAAATATTGATTTATTGACAGGTAATAATAATAATAATAATATTGCTCCAACATCAATAACACCACCAACAACCCCCACGCCAACGCCAACACCAACGCCAGCATCAACGCCACCAATGACGCCAACTGATCATATATCTATTTTAGCACGTGATACACAAACAATGGATCAGATTCAAAATCTAGATAAATTATTATGAATTATTTTTCAATAAAGAATTGATAAATTATTTTTGTTAATGATACTTGTAAATTTTTTATATTTTTACAAATGAAAAAAAATTAATTACAAAAAATAGAAACAAAATATCATTAGAATTGTTTATCTGATGATTGTGTTAACGAAAACATTCAATAAATTATTTGCTAATTTAATTCATCATTTAACAAAGAAATTTTATTTTTGCAAAACAATGAAACTAAAAATGAAACTAAATAAACATTTTTATTTTTAAAATTAAAATTTATCGAATTTTGTTTTTTGTTGAATAAAATAAGCAAATGGAATTTGTAAACAAAACGAAACAAAAAAAAAAGTTCTATAGTGTAGCGATGTGGTAGGTAAACTAGGTAAATTAAATTAAAAATCTAATGAAGAATTATTAGAATAATTATAGAGTTTTATTATAAATTCAATGATGAAAAATGTTTCCAATATGATTCGTTTGATTGATTTGTTTGTTGTTGTTGTCTATTTTGAGCAAGAAGAGAAAAATGTTTAAAATAAAATTCTTGTTGATGATGATTATTATTGTAGTAATGATCGATGATAGTCATTCAATCATTGTGCATGGTGATAATCAAAATCAAACCATATCCTACAATGTACGATATCCATATAAAGCCATTTATGGTTTACCAAATTCATTAAAATGTCATCAATCAATCTATGAACGATTTGATCAATGCGAAAAAACATCACATAATGATTGGAAAATTACTATTGATGAATATGTAAGTTGTCCACAAAAAATATTTTTAATTATTTAACTCATTCTTTTTCTGTCCAGTTTTACGAAACAAAAAAATTTTGTTGTTTTATTTGGGATGCAATGAATTGTGAAATGGATGTTTCTAAACAATGCAATCATAATTATGCCATAGAACTTGAATTGAATACAAAACAAACATATCAAACATTATGTGATCATATTGGTTATGGTCATGGAAATTGGAAATGTTGGTGGACAGAAAATCGAATAATTATTGTCAGTAGTGTAGTTGGAGGTGCATTGGTACTTCTTACAATATTTTGTATAGGTTTCGGTTTATATAAATATGTTCAATCAAATAACCAAGTAATAAAGTAAGTATTATTTCGTTTTGTTTCGTTCAAATCCTAATTGAAATGTTTTTTCATTTTAAATT